CTCTGATATAATAGATAAATGAATAAATTACATTTGAATCAAATTAACGAACACTTTTTTTGAGATGTACAATGTAAAGAAAAACAAATCCTTTCAACGAGTAATGTGCTACTTTTTATCATTCCTGTGCTGGTAATATTTTTATACTCATCAAACTGGTCTCAAAAGGAGATAATTATTGCTGTGCTTTATTTGTTAAAATTGAAGTACTAAACAAAAGTAGAAGAATAAATTAAAAACTTATAGTTCTAAAACAAGGAAGAATTTTTTGGTGGCAATAAATTTTTAAATAAAGTTTAAATCAAACCCCATGAAAATTAGTAATAAATTTAATTACGTTAACAAAATTTAAAAATTAGATACGTGATTTTTCTGTACTGCAGCGTAAATGTATGGGGAATTTGATAATATTAAAATTGTTGCTTCGTTTCTTCATGATTTAGAAATGTTTGTAACAATAAAAAGTAAAAAAGGTACTATTTTTGTTTACATTTAAAAATAATCAAAATTTTTCAGAATTAGGGTTGATAATTAGGTTATAAACTGATTGATAAAAAAACTTGTGCAGAAAAATCAAATTTAATGCACGTTGATAGTTGTTGCAATGTAATCTGTATGTTTTGTTTTGTAAAGTGTACATGTTAAAAATGTGTAATTGGTATATAAAAGAAGTACTTTACGATACAGTGAAAAAATTTTGCGCCAGCTTTGTGAAAGTAATTAGGTTTAATTTTTTAGTTAACGAAGAGAAAATTTGAATTGTTCTGATAAAAATAGAGAAAACAAGCCACGTGAAAGATCACAGACATATGAAGAGAAAAATAAGAATTAAAAAAAAAATTCCGTATTTTCCCTCTGATTGCACTCACTACCTAATTGTTACGCTTAATAATTCACGTGGAATACTTCCATTTAATCACTAATAATCTACAATCGTAAAAATACTTATATTTAAAAATTTCATAATCACCATTAATTAGAAAAACTCATATAGCTTCAAAAAAATATGTTTAACTAACAAATACAATGTAATAATGTTGATTAACATTTCTACAGCTCTCTTATTCTTTCTAAAATAATACGTTTCATCATATTAGCAACATTACTTCACGTAAATTGTGTATGTATGTTTCTCGTTTTTCAGATTCAAAATAATTGTGTTGATAATAATATTAATGATGACCAATAACAATCAACATCATAATAATAGTAATACGAATAATACTAATAATAATGATAATAATGACAGTAACTAAATTGATAATAATAATGATAATGATGATGTTGATCATTATGATGATAACAATAATGACTATCGTAAAAATAATAATGATAATGACGATCATAATGATGTTGATAATAATTATGATAATAATCATAATAATGATGTTCACAATATTTATGTTAAGTGTGACAATAAAAATGGTCATGACGGTGATGATGATAATGATGATGATAATGATGATGACATTTATGATGAAGATAATGATGATAATGTTGATAATGGTAACGACGATGATTATGATGATGATTACGATGATGATTATAATGATGATAATAATGATGATGACGATGACGATGATAGTGATGGTGATAATGATGATGATGATGATGATGATGTTGATAAAGATGATGATGACAATGATGATGATGATAAAGACAATGTCGATGACAATAACGATAATGATGACGATAACGATGACGATGACAATGATAATGATAACGATGATATTAATAATAATGATAATGACGATAATGATGATGACGATGACGATGACGTTGATAATGATGATAATTATGAAGATGATTATGATGAAAATGATGACGATTATAATGATAATGTCGATAATGATGATTATAATGATGATGATTATGATGATGATAATGATGATGATAATAATGATGATAATAATAATGATTATGATTATGATGATGATTATGATAATGATAATGATAATAATAATGATGATGATGATGAT